TCCCAGAGAATTGACCCCATGGCTGAGCGCGGAAGATTCAAGAAGTGGCCCTTGACCACTGCACCAAGCATAGTCGCCCTCAAATTCTGCGTGTCCCCGTCTGGAACAGTCGGCGCTATGCATGAAACCTTGTTCTTGGGCTTCACGTCATAGCGGAAAAGTGATGGCAAACCATTCGCCTTCATAAAGAGTAGTAAGTAGGCAACCCGGATCATAGCTAACAAATCAAGACATCTTTAAAACTTTTTAGATATGTCTCAGACTCACTGGGTGTGGGTGCTGGTGATTTTTTTTGACAATCCATCCGTCCTGGTTTTTTTGGATCATGTCGTGCTCCATCAGGTTCAGCGATGTTATCCCGGTGTTGCGGCAAATGTGGCACACCAGGTCCGCCACTGAGATGGCCTGCTTGTTTCCGTTCTCAACCAGGACCACCAAATGCAAGTCGCTGGTGATCATGTAAGGGATCGCAGTGGCAGCATTCCCACGAGCTGTGCCTGTCAATTCAAAATCAATAGATAAAGTCGCATGCAGAGTCAAAACAAGCAACTAGGGAATTTAAGTTTTTCAACCCATCCCCCTTGCTCCTGTAGTCCTATAAACAAAGTCCCAAGGAATGCGGTTGCCACAGCGCGCCTGTAGGTACTTCCGCTGCCAGGCCTGTTCCAAAGCCGAAGAGCTCACCGCAGCGCAGAGGCACGTCCTCATTCGTCGTGTTGATCAGCCACACACCGAAATCACCGATGGAAATGCCGACGTGGATCTTGTTGTTGCTGATTGCCACTGACTTCCCCAAAAGCCTCGCATTGAAATTTTATTGCACGATTGAATTCGAATCTGCAAAAATCAGTTGACAATTTCTGAGGGTGTAGTGTTGTGTTGAAGGATTTGGTTGGGTAAGAAACACTTCGGGAAACAAGTTGGTCCAAGAAACTCCTTGGTTGCTTCAAATTCAGACAAATCAAGGGCAGTTGACGGCTCGATGGTCTTCCCCACGTCAATTGGGCGGTCTCCCTCTGAGAACTGTGGCTGCGACAAGGTGCGCGGTTGCTGCGCAGGGCCAGCAGTGCCAGCCTGCCCAGTGCCAGCCCCAGCTGCTGCCGAACCAGGGGTGGACGAGTTTGATCCTTGTGCCACCTGCTTGTACTTGGTGTTGAACGCCTCCACTTTCTCTTTGAGAACCCGAAGTCGGCCTCCGTCTGTCTCAGCGGACAGGCTATCAGCCACGGCACCAGGAATCCTAAGTTTTTTGCAAATGGTGTGCGATGAGCTTGCTTTTCATCAAAGAAATTAATTTTGGATGGTGGTAGGGTGCAAACAGTACAGCCTAGCAGCCTAGCAACACAGCTTCTCCACCATTGAAGGCAAGGACTGCCAGAGACGGCATGGGCTTGTCATATGGTGTTTGGGGACGGGTCTTCTCACCAGCTTCAAGCGATGAATCCCACCAGTCCTTAAGTCAAGAGTTGAACAAAGTCAAGAACTGAATTCCAGGGACAAGAACCTACCTATGCCTGAATCCTGAAGTGGTAGCATTGGCGATGCTTTAATTTTGTGAAACTGCTGCTGAGGTGGTGGCTGACATCAAAGCGCCAGCGACTTCTGACTTGACTAAACCGCACTCCCTTGCACAATCATCCCGGTAGTAACCCGCAAAGAAGTATTCGTTCCCAGCAGTCGTGTTCAAGAACTTCAGTTGGAACTGAAGGGCTGCTCGGCCCCACTCATTGAACCTGTAGCGGCAAAGAGCCGACAAGAACAGAAACAGGGTGCGAGGATGGCTGCGACACGTTTCACCAGATGAAACTCTTGGACGTGGGAATCATTTTGCTGAAAATATCGATTCAAGGAATTGAAATTGAATTAATTCATGAAAATATTGTTTAAGAAAAATATACTACTAATTACCTATTAGTTGCAATATCATGTAATTAAGAAAAGATACTTTAAGAAGTTAAGATACGTCATCCCGAAAGTTGTATTCGTATATGACCAGTACTGTTACCCTCTAAGTATTCAATAAAGAAAAATATGGACAGGACGTTTTTTGTGCTATAATCACACCAAAAAACAAAAGAAAACAAAAATCATCGAACATCAAAAAACAATCACAATACATTACTGAAATATATTATGTGCATGTAAAGATGTCTCTTCACATTTATTAATTTCGTCAAGGATCTCAGAGACCTCTTCCTTAAAGAATAATACGCGTTCATGTTTGAGAAGCCATGAAACATTTTGATGCTAAACCGCGGCAAGCATTCACCTTATGTAATTGACACGCGCGAGTGATGGAAGGAGGGGTGCGACTTTCGTCGTTGTAAATCTTTTATAATCTTTCCATCAATATTATCACTAGTGGCTGTATGAAGGTAGCTTGGCGGGTGCTCTAGCTGGCGTCGTAAAAGAACAATTTTTAAGTCGTTGGCCTACAGGCAGCAATTTTTAAATTCTTGCGCGCCAATCGCTTGCCTTCGCGTGATCCCCACATATATTGTTATACTGACAGTAACTCTGCCCAGTAGAATATATAATGCTTCAAAGATATGATTCCTGAATTGTATCTGGCATACCAAAATATTCCAACACCGTATAAAAATAATATTGTATCTGAATTTGAACGTTAAATTCTGCATTTGAAAATTAAATTTGCAACGTTTTTGATTGACATAAGTTTTGACAGTGATGCACTTCACACTTACTTAACAAACAGGTTGACGACATATGCCGGCATCCTGTCTGACATATTTTCGGATATCGTGCGGGGAGGTGACAAAAGAAAAGAACATCATTCAATCGAAGAATTCGGAAAGTCCAATGGAAGGAGGTCCAAGAGCTGTCCTGTGGATTCTGCCTTTAACATTTTTGAAGGTTTTGGGTTGAAGGTTCGGTGGTTTGAGGGTTGAGGGTTTGAGGGTTGAGGGTTTCCGGGTTGAGGGTTTGAGGGCTCAGGGTTTGAGAGGTTGCCGGGTTTATTAAAATTTTTCAGAATTATTTAGGATTTAGTGGGACGTTGGCGGATTGCTACACCAACTCATGGTTGCGCACCCTAAAGGCCTTGTGGGCCAGGTGTCCACCAGGAAGATCTTGTAGGTCTTGCCTGGTTCTGTCACGCCGCTGAGCAAGGATTCGATGATTTCGGTGCAAGCTTGGACTCCTCTCTGTTGCACCTGCCAAGGATTGAATTTAAACATTGCATGTGGCAAAAGTCAAGAAGAAACACGTGAACAGCCATGGCACCCGTTGTCATGGAGGTGACAAAGGGCGATCTGCATCCAAATTGATGAGTTCACACACTCTTGCCCGTGACACAGGTCCGATCGTTCCCAAGAGCGCTTTTGATCCAGAAAATAACCAATTCTTGTGGATGCTCACTGTGCCTGCCACACCTGAGCCGTATGGACCCTCCCCGTGTGAGCGATTAAAATTCCCCACGCACGCACACACAGGCATAGTAAAAATGGCACAAACAAACATCTAACTGAGAAGTTGATGCTGGCTCGGCACAGGCTTGGCTCCTCTTGCGCTTGTCTCCCTGGTGAGAAGGGTCAGCGAAGGAGAGGCTGATCTCATTCGAATCGAAGGATCTGAGCAAAGTATCTTAAGCATGGAACAAAAAGGGGTGGTGATTATCGCACACTGCAATGTTTAGTGCCATACATAGCTTGCAGCTAAAGCACGCCATGAAAAGGTCTTCCAAGTGCCGTCTGTGTCTCACCACAATCGCTTGCTGTGTCGAACCATGCAAAACCGGCAAAAGGGCCAAGCAAATCACATCCGCTGATGCCGAACAAATTGATCGTGCCAAGCCAATGGCTTCGTCCAACACTGTCGGGTCTTAGCCGCGGCACTGAAGCTCATAATCATCAAGTTACTGGCGTTGGTCTGTCACTACTCTATTTAAAACTGCATGCATGGCCTCGAAATAAGAATTAGGGTCGGGGTCAAGGGACCTTGTGGCCACAGCGTCGCGTCAACAATGATGATGCCAAGCCTGGCACTAAATGGAGACAAAGAATGTAAGCTTCAAACTGACAATGTCTTTTTTTGGGCGTTGGTTTGAATTTGGTAAGGCAAGAAGCTTGCTCCCTCCCTCGTTCTGCATCATCGACAGAAAGTCTGGCAAGGCAGCAGTGAGATTCTCAAAATGCTCGTACCGCTGGTGTCTCTGCATGAACTCCTCCACTTTGGAAACACCACGCTGGTAGCGGTCGGCAAGGTAGCGGACATGCAACTTGCATCAATCAGTGAGAAATCTGGCTAGAACACGATCCAGTACAGCCAGTAACTTAATGAAACAAACACGCCTGGCCTGTCGATCGGCTTCTGCTTGCTTCGCATCGAAATATTCCGACATAATGGCCAAATCCCGATCAAGCTGGGTTTGCAATTGGACATATGAAGCGGCTGCAACTTGCTCAGCGAGCCTCAATTACAAATGGATACTGAGTAATGGCATGCATTGCTCGGGCAACAAGAGTTTATAGGGGCACTGTTTCGATCTGGATCTAGTTTCAAGTTCAACTTTATTCTAAGAGAAGCACTGCTCCGCGGCTTTCGCGGCATCATCGTGCACCTGTCAAACCAAAATAGCACTCCAGCTTTCATAGTGCAGAAGAGCAATCCAAAACGCAGGTGTTACTTTGCCCCTGCCTGTTTCGCATGTTTTGCCAGACTGATCTTGAATGCCGTGATAGATTCCAAGTTGACTGGAGGAACTGTGCGTTCCAAACATGCCGTCAAGTCTGGGTCCAAGTGTCGCAGCAAAAACCTGCACAGTAACCAAAAAACAGGATCAACATACACCGCCAGCAACATCATCAACAACCGCCCGTCAAGTGACGATTTCTTGATCTTGGGCAGCTCCGACGCTGCAAAAGAATTGGGAACTCTCGTCGTGTAGGCCCGCTCGCATTCCAAGTACAGGCAGCAGCTGCGCTGCAAGAGTTCCTTAATGATGCAAAAAGAAGGGTGACTTGCTTGGCAGGAAGAAGCAGAATTAAAACTTAAACCGGGACAGCCTGAGGTTGCATTTAGATTTACACTGCTACTAGGTTAGCTGAGTCTCAATGTCGCTCTGCTTGTAACACTTCCGCATCTTGGGGGCGAGCGCCATGTAGTCACCCTCCATCCTCTCCGCAAGCAGGAGCAAGCTCTCCGTCGTGTTGGCCAGAAATGGCTCCCAGACTTCCAAGCTAGATGAGCTCGTCGCGTGACCCAAGTTAAAAATGCAGTTCGCAATGGGCTCGTGGCTGATGAACTTCTGCATGGAAAAAGTCCTGATCATTCAGCAACCTCTCACAGCTCTCCCTGATTCGTGAGTGCTGGGGTCCATGAACCACAGTGTGACCACAGCAAGCCCAGCGAAACCCATCTCCTGACCAAAGCTGCCAACTTCTGCACAACCTGGTGGGGAATGTGGTTCAGCAAATTCACGGCTGACTTCGCCTCCAACTGTCCAACTCTGTAGGCGTCGATGAAGGCAGTGCTCGACTCCCAAACCTGTTTTTTCTCATTGACAGTCCGAGCAACACTGCTACCATTCAAGAAGTGCAGTCGATGGTCAGCGACACAAATCATTAATCATGAAATGAACATATTTCTGAAGCAGGCTTGAAAACATATCCTGTCGTGCCTCCAAAGACCGCCCAGCATTGGAGTTGCTGCAGCGATGCTCAATCTTCAGCTGGTGCAAAAGATTGAAAGCGTTCGGCTTTCGGCGCAACGCCGATTGTTGTAGAGATATGCCTTGAAACAGGCTGGGATTCGGCACGCCCATTTACAGTCTCCAACATTGCACGGCCACTGGTGGTCCCTAGATGGATCCCGAAACACATACTCAGAGCACAAACTATTGGACAAGCATCCACGGTTCATGGCCACCAACGAGGCAGCATCCGGGGCGCAAACGCAAGTCGCATGAATCGTTGCCAGTGAACTTGGTATACACTGGCTGATGCAAACCATTTTAAACAAAAATTAAAAATAAAAGAATCAAATGCCATGAAGAAAGGCTCAGCATTCGAACTTCATGCAAATGCTTGCTGAGGAACTCCTTCAGTTCCGCGGGCCATGCCTCTCGACATCTGGATAAGCACTGGCTCAAACTCAAGGAAAATGGAAAGGATGACCAAGGATTGCAAGCAACCTACTAGTACTGCGCAAGCCCAGGCCTGGAAAACATCTTCTGGCGATTCGTATGCATACAAAAGCAAAACCACTGCAGCCACACATCTCGACCACCCCTTCACGAGGAAAACGCTCATCGGGCCCAGTAAATCTCCATGGTCGAATGAGGCAAGGCGGACAGGTTGTGTGGTCAACATCTCAGGCTTCACTGCGCTCACTGCTAACTTTTCTACTCCCACCTTGTTGGCATCTGTCAAGAACCTGAAAGTTCTCAACTCAGACTGGATTGGCAACGGCATCAACACCCCCAGGTTTGCAATTTTTGACGGTGGCCAAGGCACGTGTTGTGAAGTATAAGTTGGCACAACATGGAGAGAACGTCCTGACAAACACTCGCACGAACTCCCTGATTGGGTGTTTGCGCAAAATTCAAACATGCCTGCTGGTGTTCCGGGTCTAAGGACCGATCCGGTTCAATGTACCCTTTCAAGCCGTACTCCGCTCCAAAATTGAGCATCCAAGGTCTCAGGAGCAGCCCCCCTTCTCTGCCCAAATCTCCCTTCAGCGCATATGACCTCAATTGTTGAATCTCAAACAAAAATTGAAATGGATTTACATTGACAATTCTTGTCCAAGCTTGCTACAAAGACAGATGTGGCGGGAACTCCTCATCAACCCAAGTCCAAAAGCGTGTGAGCTGGGCCTGGCAAATTTCACATCAGGAATTATTGTGGCTACGCGCCAACAGTCAAAAGAATTTTGTTATTATATGGGTAGTATATAGATTAGTATATGTTAGTATGCTGTTCCGGTGCCTCAGTCTGCAGCTTCAGTGAGATGTAGTTGTCAATAGACTGGTGCTCCTTCGTGACAGAGTTCCTGGGAGCTATCTGCCGCTGGGCACGGCTGCCGCATAGCATTAGACACACACTGACACATGTAGTTGTTGCACCGGCAATAGCCAAGCATCAACCATTGATCAAAATTCTTCACATGACCCTTCAAAAGCGCATCAACTGGAACTTTCAAGTCTGTGTTGGCTTCGACCTTCACAGCCTTTGAGCCGGGAGCTCCACCACCGCTGTTGCGACGCTTTCTGCCGGCAGCTGACATGGCACAGTCACAGTCTCAAAGGGCTGGGCAGACAACTCCAAGCCAGCTGTGGCTCACAACGGCAAGCCAATCCCAACTGGATCCACACTGGATCGATATCCAGCACGGATTGCTGCACAAAATCAATGCATGCACGTGCAGTATGCTCTGTGCAAATTCCCATCCCCTTTCAAGAAACTTTTGGAAATGCCCATACTGCGCAATGGCCGTGCCATTAAGATTTAGATTTAGGGTCTTGGAAATTTTGTGCAGCATCCCACCTCCCCCAATGCACAATTGTTTTTCCGATCTTTCTTGTTTTGAAAAATGGAAATGATAATGTTCACCCCGCTTTGTGAATGCCATACCGTTTAGGGTTTAGGATTTAGGGTCTTGGAAATTTTGTGCAGTATCCCAACTCCCCCAATGCACAAAAATTTTCTTCCGATCTTTCTTGTTTTGAAACATGAAAATGATAATGTCCATCCCGCTTTGTGAATGCCATACCGTTTAGGGTTTAGGATTTAGGGTCTTGGAAATTTTGTGCAGTATCCCACCTCCCCCAATGCACAAAATTTTCTTCCGATCTTTCTTGTTTTGAAAAAATGAAAATGATAATGTCCATCCCGCTTTGTGAATGCCATACCGTTTAGGGTTTAGGATTTAGGGTCTTGGAAATTTTGTGCAGTATCCCAACTCCCTCAATGCACAAAAATTTTCTTCCGATCTTTCTTGTTTTCAAAAATGAAAATGATAATGTCCATCCCGCTTTGTGAATGCCATACCGTTTAGGGTTTAGGATTTAGGGTCTTGGAAATTTTGTGCAGTATCCCAACTCCCTCAATGCACAAAAAATTTCTTCCGATCTTTCTTGTTTTCAAAAATGAAAATGATAATGTCCATCCCGCTTTGTGAATGCCATACCGTTTAGGGTTTAGGATTTAGGGTCTTGGAAATTTTGTGCAGTATCCCAACTCCCCCAATGCACAAAAATGTTCTTCCGATCTTTCTTGTTTTGAAAAATGAAAATGGTAATGTCCATCCCGCTTTGTGAATGCCATACCGTTTAGGGTTTAGGATTTAGGGTCTTGGATATTTTGTGCAAAATTCCGACTCCTCCAATGCACAAAAAAGTTTTCTGAACCCTTTTGTGCAAACTTTTGTTTCAACCCTGTTGTGTAAACTGAAATCCGCACAAACTGCTTGGCTCCTGGGGCACCCCGTTCATTGCATTAGTCCAGCTGCCTTGATTCACAAAATGTGGTCCTAAAAAAAAGATTCACTCCAAAGAGATTCAGTCTGGAAAACACGGGTTGGAAAAGTTTGCTTTGGAGCAGTGTTTTGAGACTTGGGGCAGCTGGCCTAATGCTGCAATTTCAGCCGTCTACAGAGCGAGCTTTTGCGCATGAAAAGCATTGCTTGAAACAAAACAATGACTTGAAGGTTTCAGTAGGAATAGGAACCCAAAACCAAAACATCTGCAAACACCAGGAGTGATGGAAGAAAGCGACACCAATCAAGCTACTAAACTTCTTGGATGACTTCGTCAAAAGCTTGGCCAACGATTTCCAAAGCTTCGTTCATGGAAATACCTCTGGCCCACAAACGAGCTGCGGCCCTGTACAAATGGATGTTCTTCCGTGCAGACTTGTACTTTTCTAAAGCCTCTCTTTCTATTTGGCCGGCCTGCAATCCCAAAGCATTGGGAGCCTTGGTAAGGATGCGAGTGGGCTCGGTTGAAAAAAAAAGCCAATCTAAGAATGAATCTAATAATGAATGACGGCCAACTTCGTTCATGCATGGCTCGTCCAAGCAACTTTGGTCAGAAGTCTTCAGGTTGAAATGTCAAGTTTCCCTGCAAAAGAGACTGAACTCTTATGGGTCTGGATGGTTCTGAATTGCAGGTTGCAACATCAAGCTTGAGGCTAAGGGAATGGCCGGGTCCAGGTTTTGTCCCTGGTGCGCACGTCCCTGCATGCACCCTGCTTGTCCAACTCGGGGACCCATTGCAGGGAAAAACCTCATTTTGAATGGCAACAACACAGCACATGTCGGATTGACACTGGGAACCTGAAATTCTGATGACGGGCAACGAACCAATTGGCAACAACGCTTCTCGGGCTTGACTGCCATTGGCCAGCTGCTCCAGATAGTCTGCTGCATCATGCAGCAGAAACGGATCCATTCCTCAAACAAAATTTGTCCTAGATAAGCTCACACAACATGACAACTGGCGACAAACTAAACTAACATTGGCACTGGTTGTGAGAGACGAGGCGCTCAAACCAGACGCAAATTTGAGGTATGAGTCACGGGTCTTTCGCTCCAGCTCCCGTTGTGGTGCCACAACTCAGGGATTACCGAAATCAGAGCTAGCACAACTGCAACAGCACAGATAAATACAGTAAATCCTCCACTCTTGGCAAAAGTTGTGACATGGTGTGACAGCCAAGCCTTCTGGGGGCTCTTGCATTTCAGCAGCTACAATCCCAGGCAAGTAGAGCAAGACCGGTGACCGGAAGCCGATGTCAGACATGTACTGTTTGGTCCTTCCAATTCCCCCGACAAAACTTTTAAAAAGGCCTTCTTGCGCATTTTACTTTGAAACGAGTCCACGATGAAATGGCTGCGGGCTAACAGCTCGCAATATCACACTGCTCCTCAAGATCACATCATCGGGGCGGTGCGTGGCATAGCCCCGACGCCTCCAGAAATTAAGATCGATGGAGGCATCGCTCACCACACCTGAACGGGAACATGAAACCAATGCTCCAAAGTTCGTTCGGTCACCTGCCTTTGTCACAACTGGACAACTGTTTGCCACAGAGTCCATTCAATGCCCCACGGAAAGTAACCAGCCAGCCTGTCAAATCTTCTCTCCGATCGAAGAAGAAGGCATGTGGGGCACCTGGTCCTCCCAATCCCTTCAAGAAATTCCTTCGGCACCCAATCATCAGCCAGGTTTTCCTCAGCTATCAAAATGCTGGGTGCATGGGAACAACATGCATAATAAATAGGCTCAAAGGGGCGGCAAATTCCATCCACCTATGCAACATTTCATAAGACGATATATTTTCCCCGACCTGTCAGGTGATGGCCTCTAGAATTGATGGCACCCTCGATGCAATGCCAGAATTTAGGTCAATCAAAAAGGTCGGGGATCTATGCCAGATAGAATTTTCCCAGGTAAACTGACAGAAAGCATGTTATTTAGAACGCCAGACTGGAATTTCTTGGTTCTGGAATCCTTTTATTTCTTTAAGCAAACAAAATTTTAAAAACAAAATAAACAATCAATGTAAGAGACCCTAATGTAGTAAATTTCCTGTTGGTTTGGCCCACACGCACGGACCCCACGAAGTCTTGGAGAGAGACAGGAAAGCCCACGTTTTTGGACCCTGGGGACATGACTTGGGGGGGTCCGTTTTGGAGGCCCAACCAGAAGGAAATTTTGCAGCCTAATGGACCTTTTACCAAACATATGCCGAACATAGGCCCAACATGGACCCGACATGAAACAAAAGGCATCGACAAAGGTCACACATGGCCTACATGGCCCCAACATGACTACCAAATCAAAGCATTCAGCAAAGATCCGGGCTTACGAACAAAGACCCGAAAAAGGTGTGTTCTTTTGGGCCCTGCAAAAGAACACCCCGTTCTTGGCGCAACATAGGCTCAAAATAAGCTCAACATAGGCTCAAAATGGCCAGCATAAGCCCAACATAGGCCCAACATGGGACCAACACACCTCAACATGGGACCAACAAGGCCCAACATAGCTCAACCTGGCTCCAAAACCAAGGGCTCATTTTGAAGCTCAAAAAGGAAAATCCAAGGCGAAACCGAGCCATCCTTTTTTTGGACAAACAAGAGCCCAACATAGACCAACATATTGCCAACATAGGTCCCGCATATAGACCCAACATGGCCCCAACATGACCCCATCCAGGTACCGGCATGGGCACCCAGACACGACCTCAAATTCACTGTAAAATTATGTTTGTTTGCTTTTTTTTGCTCGGAACCAGCCTGGCAGGAAATTCACAACCAGAACGGCTAGTCAATCAAGAATGACATAGCAGCAGCACACAATTTAAACTTCCCAACCGCCGACTCCATGTCCAATAGGGAACTGTAACTAAAATAGATATGTCATCAGAATCATAATGTCAGAAGATATCTGTGATAAAACTTTTGCTTTATATGGAAGCAGCCCTGGGAAGTCACTCTTGCGGGAGGCTTTTGCAGTTTAGTTGGTGGCCCCATTTACTGAAGTTGCGGGGGCTTTTCTCGAAGATGCAAGAAGCACCAAAAGGGCAAGGAAATTAGTTACCAGAATATCTTAGATACACCCGTCAGATTGCACAAAGTAATGTTTGTTCTGGCCATTATAGCTGTGCACGATTATCGCCAACATGAACTGAACTCGCACCCAAAACTCGGGCTTGACCAAGCATCCAATCCCTGACAGCTTCAACCTTGATCACCTCACGCATCCTCTCATTGGGACGTACACTCTCGTTTCCCATGTAAACCTTCAAGGCATCCATGAACTGTTGCGGATTGTGAAGCTCAGTCTGAGTGGAAAGGAATGCTCCAAGCAAAGAAAAATATTGATCGATGTCTTCGTGGCTGTGACCCGACATGCAATAATGCATGCGGGCACGCCTGATGGCCCGTCTGGAGGTCAAAAAAGCTAAAAGCCGTAGTGTGGAATTGTTTTTTGTCTCCTTTGTGCAATTGTCACTTTGTATGTTCACCTCAAAATCCCTCAAGTCGATGCCGCTCTGGGTCAACTTGTGCAGCACGTGGACAAGGAGCTCACAGGTGAAATCGGCACCTTTGATGATGTGGTGTTCTGCAAAGGCGACGGCGACCAAGTGACCATGGGCGATCACAGCACAGCATTCCATATGGGGTCTCACCACATTGTTGAACTGCTTGGCCGCCATTACCGCAGTGCGTGGTAATGACCACTTTGCATGATCCATGGAGTCTATGATGAGTGTAAGGGTGCTTTGTCCATCCACGTCGCTCCCAATGCGTGACAGTGACCTGTAATTCCAATAACATTCCCGGTCAGAGAATTGCTTCTTCATGTGTGCACCCCACAGCTTTGATTGTGCCATCAAAGCTGCCTGGTTGGAGCCAAGTCTCTTCATGATGGCCTTGTGCTTCAGGCAAGTCGTGCACATCGCTTGGCTTCCAGCTTGTCTGATGCGAAGGTGGCTGAAGGATTCCTCCCAGACCTTGGGTAAATCGTCTGCCACAAAACATGCATGATAATGGTTGACCCCTTTCTCAACATCATCTCAGAATCCCCTAAACATTTGCAAAGAAAAAGTGTGGCTTGGCGCAGCTAGCTACTCTAGTAAACAGCTTGAAGGATACCTGGCATTCAGGGTTCTCTGAATGGAAGAGCCGAAGGTAATCTTTGTAACTGCCTGGTGGCAGCATTCGAAGGGCATTGGCAGCTTCAGGACTCCATTCAGAATCGTCCTTCTTCTTCATCCTTCGCGGCCGTTTGCCTCTCCGACACGCACGGCGAAACTGAAGCTGCTTCTCTTCAGGCTGTTTCCCGGCAGAACTGCACTCTGGAGCTGGCTCTGAGTGTCTGAGATAGATATTGGTCAAAAAGTCGAAGATCAGACTCCGCTTGTGACTGGACAACCCTATGTTGAGTGGGCGAACTTTCGCCAGCCGTCCATCCAATGGACACTCAGTGCCTTTGGCAGCTGCACTTCGTAGTCGGTAGGCTCTATTAGACCCAAGCCCGAGAAGCTTGATCAACCCGCCGAAGCACACCCGACGGCCCAGAAAATGATAGCTACCCTTCCCCCTTCTTCCATCATCTGCATCTGTCAACGGGTCACGCTGCCCCAAGATCTGAAACGCCTCAGGTCAAGAAAATTGTTTTTTTGGTGGCAGCATCTGAGCTAAAACAAACATAATGATGACGAGTTGAAAGTTGAAAGGGCTTGGGTTTTTCAATTGTACTCAACCAAAGCACTTTCTTGTCGGAATCTTCCTTTGTCATCTTTCGCAAGTCCAACCGAACAGCAAGCGCAGCATCAAACATAGACCTCTCACGGAATGGCATGAAGCAGTTCTGGTGTCGGGCCGACTTTGACTTCCTAAAGCAATAGCAGGTGCCATCCACTATGTGTCGGAATTGTTGCCGGATCCGGCTGTCCAGCACTGGGTCAACTAGAGTGTCAGCCTTCCGCTTTCGCGGCACAGCATGCACTAGAGCCCCTCCTCCAGCCTGCCCTGCCGGCTGCGGCCCAGAACAAGGTGGAGCACCATCATCAGAAAGGGTGTCAATATCACCCAACATGCTACTGATGCTGAAACTTAAACATGACTAGACCTTGCAATGCTAACTGCTAACTGCAAGTGGTCTAGATTCTCACACCCTGCTGCAAAGGAATTGGACAACGAGATATGCTTAATCTCCAAATTTCGAATATGATTCAGCATGCTATGTGGGTTCATGCCAGGCATTTTTTCCTGGCCAAGGTGAAACTAAGAGTGGCACTGAAGGCAAGGCAAGCAAGGATTGTTCGAGAAGGAAACTCTTTGCACAGGCTCTGAGTTGAAATCACGATTTTCCAACGCATGGACGCGCGTTGGTTTTGCCAGCTCCTATAAGCCATGCTGACACTGGTCTCTCAAGGCCATCCATCAGGCGGCAGTTCACGCGCTGACTGCGATAAAATCCGCATGCTGCACACCAAATCGCAAGACAGCCCTCAAAACAACAAATCCCAAAATCACTGTGCTTGCACTACTGCCTGGTGATATAATAACAAGGGCTGTTGTCCTGCTACTGGCTACCTCCTACACAAAAGCAGGTTCCGGCGGAGCAATCGAAAATTTGCGGATCAAGCGGCCCAAGTCTTTCGGACTGCGGCTTCGGCTCTTCGAACGCACACCACCTGCAGTCTTACCACAAATGACAACGGCTTGACCAAAAAAAACTAACTTGAGTAGCAACGAGGATCATTGTCATGTGACCATGGTGGGCATACCAAAAACTGAATCAATGAGAAAGCGCCTGCGTCATCAAGATCTCTGTCGGTTTTCGCCGGAGGGGGTGGCAAAGCAAACTCATCACGCTTGAGGTTGGGACTTCCATGTGCCACTGCACGTGGCTGGGGGCTGCAGGCAATCAACTCCTCGGGAATCTAAAGAAACATCCTAAGGATTGCAGAGTCGACAACAATTGTTGTTGCTATTTAATCTTTAATCTACTTGTCGTAAACAACATCATAGTCTCCTGGCATGACGTGGGCTCACGCTTTGGCACTGACTGGATGGCTGCCTCACAGGAAAGCAAGCAACAAGTGAGAAGAATTCCACTAAATGAAAGGATTCCAACTGTGGCTGAAATTCCTTTGATATGGCTACGTCTGGCTCAATCAAGGGAAGACTCATTGCTGCACCATGCAGAATCTCCCAAAATCTTTTTTGTGGGGTGGCCAAGTCAATCGTGTCAAAACAATGGGAATCCGGTAAGCCTGCAAAATTTTTGCAATGGATTCTTGGATCCCAAACTCTGGGTTCATTCAAGTCCCCGGTGGGCTACATGAGTCTGAGCATTGCAGTTGCAATGTCTTACCACTTGGCAAGTGACCTTTGTTTTAAAAAACTTATTATCTGAAAGCAAGATAGCACAAACATGCCTGAATCTTTGCAAGGTTCTCTGCAGTAAGAGGCGGTGTCTCCTGGGCCCCAAAGTGTCATGCATGACATGGTTGTTGACTTTTTGAAGATCAGCTAACAGCTAGGAACGTGACGGCATTGGTCTTCTGCTCCAAAGTCTCCTTCAGGCTGGCTGTGGCTGTGACAAACTAGCTGGGATTATGATTGGCACAATGGCTTCGGCACTGGCCGGCCTCGGACGGCAAAGGGTCAAATGGCTCACCCATGTCAGGCTGCGAATCGTCAAATTGCTCCCGACCAGGCAGCACCAGAGTCACTTCATCATCATCCGGATCTGCCTGACATTGGCAAACACATGGCTCAAACAAAATCGTTGGATGTGGGCTGGAACCAGCACCAACATGAACAGCACTCTGCCAGCCTCATGCACTACAATGAGGTTGGCACGGGCCATTGGTCGAGAAGAATCAATGAGCAGGCGTGCAAACAGTTTGAGACAAGGCTACATGAAAAAAACAAGTAAATAGCTGAACCCAAGAGCGGCACGGACAGGAACTGCAAAGATGCAGCAAACTCGCATGGGGTCTCAGTTTTGCAACGCTCACACCAAGCTGTGATAAGAGGCATTTGTAAAGCTAAGCAATGCTAATCACAGCCAATTAAGAACCTGCACGACAAGTGCCTCACGGACCGCTTTATCAAGCAGTCAACCAACTTCGACGCGCTTGTAGTGACAAGCCACCAAGCAGCATGTTAAAAAAAGAATTTCATTGTCATTGCTATCCTATGGGTTTCATCAAAACATTCTTATTGTGGCTCCTGCCATCACTTGTCACAGCCAAAGCGCAACTCATGCTCATGCTGATGCATGGCCAATTGAGCACACCGTGGGAAAACGATATTTCCAAGACATTTCAAACGCTGGTCGTCATGCTCGTTCCGGGTGGGGCGGAGCCATTTGTGCAATGGAATACTCCCTTTGGGATTCCAAGGCTTGAGTGCACTCTGCTTCATGGCCTCTGGGGACATAGCCTTGACATCCTTACGCACAGCTGGGAAATCCTCATCACGAAACAGCAGCAGCCAATTCAAATCTCAAGCGCACATGTTGAAGCAAGATACTAAGTTTTTGGCCTTGAAGTGGAAATTGTCCTTGCTCTTTCTCGCCAGCAAGAACACCCTCTCACGATTGACCTTGAAAACAAAATCTGCAAAGACAACCGCTATTGTACTGGTAGGTAAGCCCTAAGCACAGGCCCTGGCATGCGTCCCAACTTCATGTCCAGTGACATTCACCCACTGCAACTTCCATCCTCTGGACAGAAATTCCTGCAAAAGGGCCACGACTCAGTTTCAATGTAAAAAAAATGACATTCAACTGTACGACTCCTGAACCAGCCAAGCCATCATGCTCTGCATCCCCTTGCACACCAAGTTGGCCACGTTCTCGATCAGCACGAATTGACTTAGAAACAATGCATCAACATCATATCATACGGGGGCTATTAAATTGAAAAATCAACGAACATAGCTTCTGGTGCTATCACTTGAACATCTGGGACATGGACAGATTGCCGCCGCAATCGACGCTTTCATCCAGCAAGCGAAACAGGTGTGTGACCAAGGAGCTGCGTGGGTCAGAGAGACCCAATTCACTCCCGGCCTTACACACCCCCTGGCACAGCGATATTAGCATTAAAAATTACAAAATGAATCCGCAACACCTCAACCAGATAAAATGGGACCAATCACCACTGAACCTCCTGACCTGACAGGGAAAGCCCAATGTTACTCCAGCAGCTTTGGCAACTTCCGCAGAATCGCAGTGGCGCAAGCTGAAAGACATGACATCCCGGTAGATAGGACACTGGCCAAGATGGCCCTCTTGCTGGCGTGCTCGAAGTACACGGGTAGCGAAGTCGTCACGTTCGACCTTAAAAATAATCTGCTTTGCTTCATCCCAATACACTTGATGCGTGACCAAAACAAAATCAAATCTTGACGGACGACAGCAAAACAAAATCACCCACAACTTCACCGACTTTGATGCAAAAGGGCTGAGGATTGCACAAAACACGCAGGGCGGATAAACCTGAGAAACTCCACCAACAGCTTCGGCGCTACTGCGGCACTATGCTCTGGGGACGCTGCTCACGGAGGCCTAGTTCCAGACCGCCGACCCCCGAGAAGAGGGATATGGCAGTCAAAGCTGGCTCCTGGAACGCAATGACAAATTAAATTATTTCACAAACTTATGAAAAAACAAGATGGCTCCTACAAGGAAATGACAATTTTTTCACAAACCAGACTTAAAACCACTAGAGGATTCGGCTCACAAAGTATATCAGTCGCACGCTAAGGCTGGCCTTGGAAAGAGGGGGGAAAAGTTCACGGAAGTGCTCCGGCTTGACAGAGCCATAAATTGGCAGAGTCCAACCTCGCGGCAATCCTGCCATCGCAAGATGATTCTAAATTCAACAACTGCACTTCATGCCACTGGATGAACTTCAGGCCAACATCACTGGACGCTTGACACCTCTCCTGCAACAAACTCTGCAAGCTCTGGGGGTACAAACCGGTGTGAGCCAGGCTTGATGCCGTGCGACCGGCACTGTTGGCGATACTTGTCCCACCAAAGAATCTGAGTCCCAAAGTCCTCGCAATGACGCATCGAAACATATTATTACATTGAAACCAACATTCATGTCCAAAAAACAATCATTTTACTCAGAAAGGTCCTGGCGGCCGCGGACAGAGAGGTACCGGTTGTTGGCTCTGGTTGTCGAGCCAAACACGCCTCATGACAGGCACATTGCCTGGCCAGCTCCCTTCCCAACGCCATGAAA